GGGGATTGTAACCATGGCAATGAAACGATAGGAAGAATGTAAAACTAATGTTCTCCCATGTAAACAATCACATAAATCACAATAAAACATTAAAAAATTTGATGAAAGGAACTAGGAATGGAAAGGAAATAGAAAATAGTTATCATAAACTCCTTGGTGACAAGGGTTATAGATTAGGCTGTTAACCGCATGACCTGCAGTTTGACTCCATGGGAGAAAGATGAGGTTTCCTAATCCTGTAGATTCAGAGCCTCAGAAACTCTATACTGGGTTGCTGTGAGTTGGCACACAGACTGGTGATCATGTATTTTTATATAAACATTTTTAATTAAACAAAAATAAAGTAGTACGAGATTCCTCAGAAAGGAGCAATCAAGTAAAGGCTTGAGGAAGAAATAGCATGTGATGACATATAGCATATGAACTGATTTTTTTTAAACTGGATAAAAAGGATAAACTGCAACAGATGACAGGAAAGAAAAGACGGGCCAAAAGAACACATTTCTTGCATTATTCATTCCAGACAACAGTCATTCTATACCTCTGCTAACAGATAAACAGCGATAAACAATGATAGTTTGGGGGGAGGTTTCTGTGTAGAAAACGAGGCATAGAAACAAACAAAAATAATGACAGTATATGGTGTCAAGGCTAAATTAGAAACATTTGTCCCAATTAAAAAGATTGTTACACTAGATTTTAAAAATAGCAAGCTCTAATTACATGCTGTCTACAAAAAAAATAACTTGAAATATAAAGACACAATTAGGTTAAAAGCGAAAAGATGAAAAAGAATAGGTTAATTTTTCATGAAAAAATTATTTTTTTCATGTTCCACCCCACCCCACCCCCACCTCAGGTTTATTTGTACAGATAGCACAGGAGGACACTAGTCCCATGCTGATGGTAGCCCAAAGGTTCATGTCAGTCCCACTGTCCTCAGATGGAGAACTCTATTCCATCTTTGTGGGGACCTAGGCACCTTTGGGAGCCTGAGTTGACGCTTTGGCTGGGGCTGGAGTTGAAGCCTTGGCTGGAGCCTGAGGTGAGGCGTTGGCTGAAGCTTCAGCCTTACTTAGTTTGAGTATTGGCCTGGACTTTGACCGACAGAGCCTCAGACTCTTGGCAATGCGTGCCCCGAGCATGCTTCCCCTGCTTGGGATGGGCAATGTAGGCCAGCTGACTGAGCTTGCAGTTGACATCCCTTGGGATGTTAGGGTTGACCTCCTTGGGCTTTATGATAGCCTTGATAGCCTCAGCACGTGCATTCATGGCCTTGGCGTGGTTGGCCTGCATCTTCTTCAGGCCCTTCTTATTGTGCTTCTTGACAAAGCACATGTTCCTCAGAAACTTGGGGTCCACCCCCTTGAGAGACTCATACCGTTGTGATTGGGGGTTCTTGATGTAATCTTTTCACTTTTTGAAAAGTGAATAGTGTAAGCTATTCAAAAGAACAAAGTAGATTTCAGAGCATGACCATGAGTCAACATGAATTAGAGCGCCACCAAGGCAGGCCATCAGTGAGATGGACTGGCCAAAGGGCCACACGATGGACACAAACCCAATGATAATCATTCAGATGAAGCAGAATCATTCAGATGAAGCATTTTGTTCCACTGTACAGTAGGTGTGTCACGAGTTGGAACTGACTATCCAAATAACACTTGGATCAAAAAGGATAACAAAAGGGAAAATAGAAAGCATTTTGAATGGATGAAATGTATCCAACATTAACAATTAAGGGATGCCACTAAAAGTAAGACTTAGGGAGAAATGTACAGGATGTATACTAGAAAAGAACAAAGATCTCAACGTAATGACTGCACCTGCCACTTTACTTAAGACAAAAAATAATAAAAGGGAACATATTAAACCTAAAATAAGTAGAAGAAATTATATAATAGAGACCAGAATGAAAATCAACATAGAGAAACAATGAGGAGGGTAAAGGTGTTCATGAAACCAAGTTGATTCTTGGAGAAGATCAATAACAGACTAGCCAAACTGATTTCAAAAAGAGAAAGATTCATATTACCAACATCAGGAATGAGAGGTCACAATACTACAGACAGAATCTATAGGTATTAAAATATCAAGAAATATTATAAACATTTCATCTGTAAATTCAACAAGTTAGATGCAATGGGCAAATCTGAAAGACAATCAAACAAACCTCCCTCTAAAAGAAATATATAATATGGATGGTGGTGGTGGTTATGTGTCATGGAGTCAGTTCCAACTCATAGCAACCCTGTACACCAACCTTCTTTCACCATTCTTATTCAGCCTGTAGCTGAGGCTGTAAATCTTTATGAGAGCAGAAAGTCTCATCTTTCTCCTGCGGAAAAGCTGATAGTTTTGTACAGCTGACCTTGCGGTTACACAGCCCGATTCGTAACCACTACGCTACCAGAGCTCCTTATAATATGAATAGACTATTAAAAAAATAGAATTTGGACTTCTAGCAAGATGCAGACTAGGCAGACACACTACATGGACCCTGTACAACAAAGATAAGAAAGACCAAATGAAGCCGAAATAGGTGAAAATTCAGGAACCTTAAACTTCAGAGGAAAGCTTACGAGTAGATTAAGTGCTTGCTGAGAGGAGAAACTGAGCAAGGAGACTGGTCAGATACAGCACCACCATCTTGTGAACAGCTTTGGCAACAAAAAGTGGCCTGCCAGAGCATATTCACACAGGTGAGGGAAAGGTTAGATCCCTTTTTTTAGCCACACTCCCCTGGAGACCAGAAAAGTGGCCAGTTTCCACCCTCATCCATCCCCAGCGCAGATCCTGCTCTCTGGGAGTTTGGAGCCTTGTGGTTTGGGAGCCTGCTGCAC